CGTGTGTTCGATCCTAGCTTCGTGCAAGGATTGATTTTGTGTTTTGATAGTTTAAGTTTCAGAATGATATAATGGGAATTTATATTCTCGATTTCGTTCTGGTTCAAGATTAAAGCTTAAACCAATTGAATAACATGTGCCTATATTTATGTATGTTCTCGTGCGAAATTGCTTAGAATAGGAGATATCATCCAGTTTTTTTAATTTAATAAAAACATAATATTCGTAAGAAAAGTAGATCAGATTGTCACCTAAAGTGAGTTTTTTGAAAGGTAAATGATGTTTAGCTGTATATTGTAATATTGTGAAAAACTCATAATTTATCATAAAATAAGCGAAATCCTAGTGAGACTTCTTGTAACCAAGATATTGACTCAAGATCTTAGTAAGAAACAAAAGAACTTCAAGAACCTAAGCACTTAAACGATTATATGGCTTTACTTTCGTTACTCAAAGCGAAAGAAACTGATAGCATCATTACCGTTACACGGTACAGTAACGTAATGATAATGGATAAAACGCCGATGTTAGGAATTATTTAATAACAAAACAATTTAAGAGCACTATCATGTTGGAATAAATAAAGACAATCAGATTTATTTCTAATTAAAGTTCTGTTTTTTCTTTGTGTAATGTCACATTAATCTGTTCGTCAATTATATCTGGTTCAGCTGTTATCTCTTCTTCCTCGTCCAAATCGACATTATCAATATCAAATTCTGTATCATCAAACAGTATTGTTGATTCATCAACCAGGTGTCTTTGTTTACCTTCATTTTCTTTTCTTCGTTTTCTTCTACCGGCTATTGTTGTGTCGTCGTTTTGTTTATTTAATAAGCTATTTAAAAATTGCTTAATATCTATATTTTGTTCAAGTAATTTATCTTTGACATCTTGAGGTAACTTTTCGATTAATTGTTCCATGTTAATTTTCATTATATCTTCCATAACATTTTGGGAGGACATTTGTTCACGAACTTTTGAGAGAGATGCATTTAACTCTTTGTATTGTTCAACAACATTTAATCTTAATTTTTCTAATATTTCATTGATATTGCGATGTATATCATCTAACATTGGTTGTTTTATCGCATAATAATCTTTAATATCAAAATAACTATCGTTGTTGATGTCTAATTCTTTGAACAGGTCATGTTCAATTAATTTTTCTAATTCTGGTGTCCATTGTAATACGAGCTTTGTCAAATTTTTATCATTACGTGCATGAGAATAAAATTCGTCTACTGTATAACGTTTTTCAAGGAATGGAGCTTGTAAATATTGATAAAAATAAACTAATAATGCTATTTTTGATATGTTGAAACTATCTTTGACAGTAAAATTAACATTGTTCAATGTTAAGTTCGTTGTTGTGGGTGTACACGTTAGAGATTCGTTATTTGATGATATTGTTTTCAGTGTGATGACGAACGAGATACTATTATTCAGCCGTATACCTGTCATCCAATCTGATGGTATAAATAAGCACGTGCCTGGTGCTACAGTTGTTCTCCCAAATTCCACTGAGGATAAATCATGTTCTGACAATAATGTGTCTTCATTATACTCTACATTTGGATTTTTTGTTTGATCAATCATTAGAAAATGTGGCCATCCATGTAATGAACAGTATAATCGTCCATAATCTGACATTTTTCCCAATGGTAATTCAGCTAGAGGACCAGGGCCAATAATCAGATCAATACTTTCAAAATTTGATTTTGCTAAATACTCTTGACAATTGAATATACTTAATAGATGTAGACCATAACGATAAGATTGTGGCATGACATTAACAAATGGTCGAACTAATGTTGTATTTGTTTCTGTTGCATTTAGATAATAGAGAAGATTATAATGTTCATGTGGTAAACTTGCATTTGTGACGTTTGAAAAATAATATGGTCCGGTGGGATCTAATTTTAATAATTCAGGTTTCCATTCTCGAATAATTGATGTTATGTCGCCTGTGACATTGATTTTATGTGGAAAATTAGCTGTCAAATAAAAATTGATGTATGTTTCTGGATCAGGTAGATCTGCAAATATTTGCAATGATATTTGTTGACTTGTACGTAATAAACGCTGCTCAACTAATGTTAACTGTGAGGGAGTTTGTTCGTGAGAGATTTTTACAATTACCACTAGAAGAGTTAGACATTGAAGGAATCGTGGAAGCATTGTGTGATACGGTACTTTACTACACGAAACAGTAGAACTAAATACAATCAGTTTAAAAATAAAGAAAGGATGAGAAATTCAACACGTGGTTTATGACCTTCAGCAAATAATTACTTCATTTTATGTAAAAAAAACACAATAAATGAAGAAAGTCGTAATAGAGTCATTTTATTAAAGGTTTAGTAAAAGATAGTCTGTGGTCAGTATTTGTAGGAGGGCTCGAGTTGATTAGTAAGTTTTTACTTCATTTAAGAAGGTTTAACTTTAGTAGCATATATTTCGATTTGTAGAGCTAGCTCAAAACATTTACACAATTTCTATTAACAGATTTAATCGTCTAACGCATCACCTATTCAAGCTACATATAAATTAAAAAGTTTAATAATTAAAAGATCGTTTATAAATTATTTAGTCAGTCAGACTCATCCTTTTGAGTTAAACTTTATAATATTTTACCTCCATTACTATCTGTCACTGTTTTTCTTCTGAGAATCAGTCATTCCTGTTGACTGTAAAACTGCTTCTAATGGATCGATTTGAACCACGAAAATTACGTTGGTTTTAACAATCTAATAGTCAGTCGCGCTCAACTATCTTTCAAATTGTGTTTTCTCGACCTGACTCGTTTCTATCCTAGCACTCTACCCCTGTCGGCATTTTTTTACTTAAAAAAGATACCATATCTTCTCTTAGTCACGCAAGTTTTTACATAACTCAGTAGGGTCCTGTGTTAATTTTCACAAGTTTGAGCTTTGGAGTAATTTCTGGTCTATTTTCGTGATCACAGAAAATTCTCTTACCTGGAGCTCGAGAATCAATAGAACTTGAACACTATTCTCTAATTCTATATGGACAGTAAGTCAGTTTAAATCTTTCACAAAGAAATACTCCTAGGTATCCTTTTGTGTCCGTGTAATGAGGACTTTTGATTTTACATTACTATGATTTTGCCTGAGTCTTAACAGGTGAAATTCGCTCTTCTTGGTCCACATAAGATCTTTTGTATAACATCTTGTTGATCACATTGACTACTCAATGAAACTCGATAGATCAACGTTAAAAATCCGTCAAAATCGAGACCTCTCACACCCATCGGATATAATTTTCTTGACTGATAGTCACTTATTACAGCGAGAAAATCCTTTCCCAATTCTGTGGCTGCATATCTTCCACTAAATATTCCACATTGTCGTAGCCAAGATGTCAATGTCGACAGTGACAATGCTAACCGATCTTGACTGTACGCACGAACTGGTTTTCGTTTCATTTTCGTCTTTTTCTTTGTTAGTGTTTGATATTTGTCTGCTTTGATTCTATTTCGTGTACTAAACACATGCGATCGAAATGATATTTGCAAACGTTCTCGTTGTTCATTCGAAAGAATATTGTGTGCTTGTAAGTTTTCACGCATTAGTTCGATAATTTCATTCGTACTCGTTGGATAATCAACGACTTCATCGATCACGTAGGTAGTGGTGGATGATTCTTGCTGAATAACTTCAACGAAGTCTCTGATAATTATTTTCTGATGATATTGTTCACCGGAATGAATTAACTTCTTCAATATGGAATCATACTCAGCTATGATTACTGTTCGACTGTTCGTGACACGTTGTGTCAGTTCAACGATGAGATCAATGAATTTATCGAATGTAATCGAGTCATAGTGCTCTTCATGTAAAACGAAATTTCTGTTTTTATGTTTAGCCGTTATATGTTGAAAACATCCATCGATTATATTTCCATTAAACGGACTAATGACACTCGATAACAATATCCATTTTGAACACAAATATTTGGTCAATGTTCGTTCATTATTTTCATCAGTAATGCTAAAGGCATGAAATATTTGCTCCAATTTTTCTAATAAAAATTTGTCAAGTTTTGATTTAATTATTGTTGGACACTGTTGATACCAGTCAACAACGTGTTGAAAATTATCATAAAGTATTGCTTTAGCATTCACTTCGACTTCATTGACCACATCTACAAAATAACAAGAAAACGAAAGTCAGTATTTTCCACTCTAGATGGGTTACGTAGCAAATTATGTCAAATTAATAGATTAATTTCTTTGTCTTTCGATCAACTTACTTTCTTTTTCCCCTTCATTGTGCTTCAGAAATGTCATTCTTTCTGACTTTCGTCCAGGTGTCTTTGTTACTCGGTTCGATTGGGAATTTTTACCAGTCCCTTGTTTCCTACGTATTTTTCCCGCCATTTTATCCTGTCGAAAACGCTTTTCTACCAGAGTTCCCTGAGGTTTAACTTTTCTTGCTGTAACGTTCTTAATCAGCCTGTATTTCGCGATAGGTATTACTAATTTTTCAACTTTTGATTGTTCACTTTCTAGAGGAATAGTTGTTTCTGAAGGTGATTTGAATTCGATTTTTAGGCATTCAAATTTCTGTACAATAAACTTGTTGAATAATTCATTGTCAAATTGGTGTGCCTGTTTCAGGCGTGCCAGTTGTGATAAGAATTTCATTAGATGTTGAATTTCAATGTTTACTTGCTCGTCAGTGGCGGTATTAGCTAGACTTGATGAACGTGTGGTCTTGCTTGTTTGTAAAAGATCTCTGACACACTCAAATTCTTTTAAGTTTAATAAACATTGGGTTTGTTTATCAAATAAATCGACGAGATGTCTGGAAAGAGTTTTGTCGGAGGATGAATGTTCTTTTGATTTGACTTTTTCTTCATTGTATTTTCTCCACGAATATAGTCGAAAATATTGTAAAAGACACCGAAAATCATTCGAAACGTTTAACCGCTGTTTGTAGCTTTTACCAGTTAAAATATTGTATAGAAAAATGACTGCATTTTCATGCCATTGATATTTGTCCATAAAGTAAAAACATCAAGAAAATAGACTGCGACATGCTCGTTAATTTGGTCATAGCTACTGATGGCAACTACGTGGATGATAGCTGATATTTCTTATAGTGATAAGTGACTTTTGATAAAAATGAGCTAAAAAACCAAGGAACAGATCTTCTGAACAAAAAGTGGGACATTTTCGAATATTCTCATGCTACAGGATGAAGATTTACATTGAAGAAGCATTACCACAGAAGGAGAGCTGATACGTTTAAAGTAATGCTGCCTAGCGGCATCGTTTCTTCGAAGATACCAGCATATTTTTTCATTGGCACAAAATGGCAATGTTTTTATAATAGATTATTTTGCCTCGATCGACGTTGTCGAAGGGACTGAATCAATGTTTCTTTTATTAAGGCAAAATAACATAGTGATTTGAAAAAAATGACAAAATGTTAAAAATTTTGTCATGACTCAAAAGAAGGGATTCTATACATGAGTCTCCAATGTATGAGCACACTCATGTAGAGACTCACATGGGTTAAAAAACGTAACTCGAACCGGATCCGACCAGACATCCTTGTGTGCAAAGAAAGCTATTATTAATCGACTTTATGTATGCAGTTATCTAAAATAAGTATTTCAACTGAAAACTCCAGCTGAGATCACTTTCAAGTCGAAGAGTAATACAAAATTAGAATTATTACCTATGTTTTGAATTGCACCGCAAAAGGTTTAACCCGACCCTGCCCTAGCCGAATCTGTACCCGATCCTAGCGTCGGTTTGGGTTGCAGGTCTTTACATCACTCCTATTCAGTTTTGAATGTTCAAACGATGAATAGTTATTCTCTGCCATATAGAGTGTTGGAGAGTTCGAGGAAGTCTTTGTAAGTCAAGAGTAAAAAATCGTATAGTAGAAAATGATCAGCAAAAAAGCGTGAATTTCAAGTTGTAAAGAAAAAATCGTAAGATAAAATATGAGAATGTCAAAATCGTAGGGATGTCCGCAGAAGTGGAAATCGCGAGATAAAACTTGTGGCAGAATAAACGGACGGAAAAACGTAAAAATTGATATATATAGAAGATACGAGAAAAATATCTGTAAACATAGATTATAATCATCTCTTTTTGTTGTCCCTATAATTTACGTATAAAAAGCAGCAGGTTCACCACAAAAATTCAGAAGTTTTCACCTCCATTTTCTGTTCCTTTGGTGAACAAGTCATTAAAACTTGACAAGACAGTAGACCTCCTGAGGACTGGTATTGCGGATCAGTATTATGATTAAGGATATGTTCGTGGTGACCGTTTAGGTTATCTGGATATAGAAGTAAAATTAACTATTGCAAGTCGCCCTATTAGTCTAATTAGATAAATTGTCGGGTGTAGACGTGTGCAGATTCTTTTATACAACTTTTATATGAAAAAAAAGCATTTACTAAAAATCCGTCCATAAAAAAGCATTAACGAAAGACGTGAAAAATAAGCGTAGAAGTAAAATGGTGAACTGATCAAAGGGTGAAGAATATCGGTAGAAAAAATAAGTGATATTGAAAATTAGTAAACAAAAAACGTTACATTGTCTACGGCTTTTTTTTGCTGTGTATGATTTGACTCGTTAGTTGTGTTGAGTACAAGATTTAACACTTTCTTGCACGTTCTAATAAGTCTATCTATAAACAGTAGCATAAATTCTGTTAAACCCTCTGTTCTTCATAAAATGTTTGCTCGAGAATTTTAGTTTTCAGTTGTGAGTCTAGGTCCCATAAATGACTTTAAAATAGTCTTGTTTCGATATTTGTTCATTCGCTGCATAAATTCTGCATAAAAGACCACTGGTATTGATCAAAAGTTTGAGTTTATTAATCTAAATCGTCACTGAAATCAAGCCAATTGCAAATTTCATAGACGACTGTACTATTTGTCTATTCACTGTTTTTCTTCAGAAAATGAGTCAATCTGTTGACTTGCTAATAGCTGCTTTTAATGCACTCTTGCTAATAGTACTAATACGAATTGATAGCGTTTATTTTCTGGATACGGTTTCTCTTAAGTAGTAATTACATAACGAAAACTAGGGCTAAGGACTGCTTCTTGTAAGAGATGTGCAAAGTTAAAAGATTGGGTCGCTGGTATGAGATTGTCGTCTGTCAGAAACAGTTGCCGATGCATAAGAAAGCTAATGATTACCGACAGAATTTTTTGATACACTGTGAGAATTTTATTAAACGCCTTAGTCGAAATGAAAACAAGTGTTTTTTTCACATAGACAGTTTTAATAGTTAAATATGAAATTCTTGGTTTAAGTTGTACTGACATCAAGAAAAAACTATGCAATGAGATTTAAAGCGGGCACACAATACATTAGGGCGTTTTTTCTTTATATTTGTTTAATTTTTACAATTGATTAATAATTGAAATTGTTTAAAAAATATTAAAATGAACAGAAATGAAAACAATTGCAGATCAGATATTAATCTCTCAACGTTCGATAAATCTCTGATATCTAGTCGACGTACGTGCTAAACTAAAAAAAGTAAAAGAAAACAAATATATAGTTTCTTTCTCTTCTATGTAAGTAGTAGTCATTCATTCAGCTGGGGCTATACAAGTGTATCTTGATCTAAAGGTAGGTGAGTCGAATTGTAAATTAAAATAACAAACATGTTTAATAATTCAACTTACCAGGAACAGTTGTTATAGAAGGCAAACTTAAACTTGTCACTTGTGCAGCCGGGTCCGATAACGTTTGTAAAATATACTTATATGGAGCTAGACTTGTACCAGCAAAATAAGCGTTAACTGTGTCTGTGGTGTTGCTGACGGCAGCCGTTTGGATATCGACCGTTGAGGTAAGATTTAATTGCTGATTAATGTAATTAATACGAGAGACTGTGCAGGTTTGGCAGAGTTTTTGAAAAACCGTGAAAAACTTCACAGTTATTTTGATAACGTCAGTAAGAACTCTAAAACCGGGAAAGTAGCATGTAGAATTTGGATGCTATTGAAATCTCCTACTTGTATTCGACAATTATTTGATTTATTGTTACCGTGCAGGCATCATCTGGACTGTTAAGCTTCTGTTGTAACTAAATATCACAGGCAGAAAGAAGACTATACGTCATACATTTATTAATGTAAATTTGTTTCGCTGTATGATATCATTAATACCAATACAGTTTTTCACCACAACTGAATCTGATGGTGACAGGAATCCTATTTCTCAGTCTACATTGACAATAATGGCTGAAAGAGAGGGTATGTTTTGTTTCATCTTTCTCTTTATCTTATAATGCTTAGCTGTAAGATCCTCAGTTCTGGTCAACAGCTGCTAATTTTCAAACGCAGATACGACTTACTACAGTATGTCAGAGATGGGCGAGTACGAGTACAAAGTTCCTAGTACTCGTACTCGAAACTTTTTTGACGAGTATTCGAAAAAATACTCGAGTACTTCCCCAAAAACTGGTGACCGTTTTTTTACTATTTACGTATCAAAAAATCGATCTTTTCGGAAATTTTTTCGGAATCATCTGCTTCTTTAGAAAAATTTTATACTCGAGTACTTTCCAGAAAATAGTCATACTCGACCCTCAGTACTCGTACTTGGAAATCCGTGTACTCGCCCATCTCTGCAGTATGTAGGTTTTAGACGACTCTCAGAGGCAGATAACGACAAATCGCGCTGGATGTTAGACTTCGCAGAGTTCAGCTGAAACCAATATTAACAAGGGCACCAACAGTAAATGGAAAGAGAGTGTCGACGTTAGAATGTTGATGAATTATCAGAATCATACCGATTCCTGAAGGGATGTATACATAGCCGGTAGGCCTGGGACATCGATGGTGCCATTTTTTGCACTCTTCGCCGGTGAGCTCGAATCGGTTATTGTGTATGTCGCTCCAGTGGCCACATTGCTGAAGATAGTGTAATTATCCGCAAGAAATCCTGTTGAGAAAAAGAAAGTCAATTCGGGTTTACAAGACCGCATTATAATCACTCTCAAAAACTATAAAAAGATTTATTAAAGTTAACTTGCGAGTATTAAAATCAGACGGAGTTAGCAAAGTCTCTGCTTCGGAATAGCCTTTTTTATCGTTGGCTTAACCGGTCGACCAATTTTTGCACTCATTTTATTTTAATGTAGATTATGGCAAGCAAAATTTACCTCACACGACGTCGTTTCAAAAAAAACGTTAAAGCGTCGACAATTATGCATAAAGTGAATTTTTTCTGTTCTCATCTTAAATTAATTGTTCTTTCAAACTTTGTGAATAATTGTTCGGTTCCCATATCATCGGATCAGTTACTAAGGATATAATGTGCATGATGCTGTAACCGAAACTAAGTACAAATGTTTATGAAAAACGTAAATTATGTACCAGTAAAGAAAAGAGCATAGATAAGTAACATTTCACAGTTCATGGACAGTGAATCCAACATTTAAAAGTTAAAGACTGATCTAGTCAGTGATAATATGGAAACAGAATAGTTATTCACTAAGTTTGAAAGGACTATTAATTTAAGATGAAGAGAACTTTATTTATTTTTAGTTTTAAAAATGATATGAATATAGTGTGATTCACTGCACAGTAAGATCATATATTTCAGTCTTCTTCAAATTTCTAAGTTTCAGAATAACAAGATGCTCTTTTTTTGATGTTTTCGGTAGGAATGAAAGTTATATTAAAAACTATAACAGTAAAAGATCCATGTGTCATGATTCGCTTTCCATTAACAATAGCTAAAACTATTTTACCTAAGTTTGTTTCTAAATTTGAAGTAGCCGGAATTACTGGATTATTAAATGCTGATTGCGTCACAATTGCTAAAAATAAATAAATAATTGATTATAATATCAGAGAAGTTCTGAATTCGCTATCTTTTGATCTTGGTATTGTTTGAAACAAATTTTTTAATATTAAACGTTTTACACAGAGTTTATAAAAGAAATTTTTCCTATCAACGTTAGTATAACAAAAAAACAACATCTTACTGTAATTTATAATAATGTTTGACGGTAGAAGAATAGGTGTTTGTACGAATAACGGCCCTGTTAAATTAGACAAACCAGTAGAGGGATCTGTTATTAGAATTACTATTGGCGACTTTAATTGTTTGTTTGAACCGAGTTGTTGCAAAATCACATTTTCACGCGAACTCTTACAAGGAATACACTCTTTTTTATAGAAGATAGTAAAGTCTAATGTTATATTGTATGTTGGTGAAGATGTTCCAGATATACTGGCAATTGCAGGTAATATTCTTGTAATTATAATTTCGAATGAATCACTTGGATTTCCCAATAATAATTGTTCTTGAAGCTACTCAAAAATGAAAAGTGTTTATCTAAGATGGTGGTACGTTAAATACTTACGGCTGTTTCGATGGACGTGTTCATCGTCATATATTGTTGCTCATAATCTGCTCGTCTTGCACGAAAAGACTCGGCAGTTGTTAATACATAATTTGAAAATGTAATTGCTGCCCAAAATTAAAATAAAATAATTTCTAGTGTAGAATTTCAGCATATGTAGTTTCATACATGCTGCAATGAATCTTGTTCTTGCTGCCGTATTTTCTTGTAAATAAAGTGGAAGTAGCGATAAAATAACTATACTGGCAAAACAAAAACCAAAGAAACAAAATGCAAGAACTGCAACAGTGGGTGTAATAATTTTAATCCATTTATTTGCCCATCTATTGAATATAATATAAATAGAAGTATATACATTTCTGTCAATGTCATTATTGATATCTAAAATTATTTACCCTTCTGCAGCATCTTGTTGTATTAGTTGTAAATTTTGTTCTGTATTATTTAAATACATTTTTTTACTCAGTGTAGTCTAAAACATGACGATTTATTGAATAAATATTACACTTTTATTCAATTCAGAGTCGAAATTGTCGAATTCACTTACTTCGTTTGATAATGATAATTCACTATATTCTATTGTATCACTTTCACTGTCAGTTTAAGAATCTAATTTGAATCTAATATCTTGTCAAGCTCAGTTTTTATAGGACGAAAATAAAATAGAATCTGTATGATATGTTTGCGAGTGACAAGTACTTTACTTAAAAGTATACACATTTTAGATATTTATTAAATATATGGAATCCTTGCAGGTTCGAAAATTACAAATTACAAACATTGCTGCATGATCAAATGAATCGATATCATTTTTTTCATGCTAATTTCCTAATATTGTCCTAAAATTATGGTTGAGATGTATCCAAAAACAGACAAAATATGAATAGCATTGAAAAATCAAGTAATTTTCGTATTCAATTATAATTTTCTCAATTGAATACGCTTGAAGCTTGTTGGTGTTATTTGCTACGTTTATTTTGACAAAATTTAATAACCTTCACTTACTTTGGATCATCAAAAAATATTTTATCTGAAATTCAGATGTATAGTATTCTCGTCAAGTATTTTCAATAACACTTGAAGCAGTAATTATCGTGTCAATATTTTAATGTTTGTCTAAAAATGATAACTATATCATTTTTTTCTCATGTCACATATTTTTGACTTGATTTTTGCTGTGGTGGACATACACTCAACCTTGGGTATAGAATCGAAGGTTGTTCATTGTTATAAATTATGAAAACAAAAGAATTCCGTTAAATGGCTTAAGCAGTTCTAAGATCTTTTTTTGAGGTAAACACAATGTTCTCATTTGATGTCCAGTTTTTCTCACATCATTCTTTCATTTTTAGAAATTTTGAGATGAATTGTTGTCTAATTTATAGCATGAAGTTGAAAATTCAAAATGTCATCTGTCATCTTTATCTTATCAACATAGAACAATAATTCTAAAGAGGAAGTATTATATTTAAAACTGAAAAAGAGGAAAACAAGTATTGAATGAGTAATCATTATCGAATATCAAATGCAGTCTCAATTTGAGAAGATCAAATATTTCGTGTAAAAATAATGGTATTTTCTGTTTGTTAATAAATAAACTCAACTCTAGAATGATGTGGTCGATTATATTCAAAATTTTCATTTCATGTCTTTCACAATATGATGATCCAATACTGAAATTTCCATCCATGTTCAACAATTGTCACTCAAGGTCAAGTGACGAAACAAATCCGTCGCTGCCAAACGTACAGTGTCATTTGGACATTTTGTGATAAACCTGATAAATGTATTCCAAATGAAAAGACATCTGTCTTTGTTCAACTCTTTCTATCGTTATTAACATGGTCTCATTACGACATGGAAACTCTATTGGTTCGTATGATACAAAAAAAAACATTTCCCAATGGTTTAATTCTACATAATGTACTCTTTTTACGTTTCCCGACTGTCGTCCATCAATCTTACTATTGTCAGAGAATATTTTTTTCTTTTTTCAAATTAACAGAACTACTTGTTTTTAGCAAATAAAAATACTGTAATATATTGAAAGTGATGAGAAATCCCATAGTCAAGATAGTATGCGGAACATAATACAAAAAAGAAATACTTCTTAATTAACTAATTACCATTAGTTTTTTTTTGAATTATTTTTACACGTAAAACAGTAGCTTTTCTGCGAGCAATAGTGGTTCTCCATACGGTTCATTAAATATGTTTCCTTAAAAATTCACGTAAAATAACGTCAACGTGTTGATGATTAATTTTGATGTAAATTGATTGAAAGATATAATTCCATTTTTTAACGAAAGTTTTTCTCTTAGGTATTAGAAACTATGTATTATTTAGCAACCATCATAGATTTGAAGTAAGAGTAACAGTGGAATTGAAAGTAACATGGAAGTCTACCTATAATCATAAATATGTTTAAAATATGTGCATGTGAAACTCTTACTTTATACGCATCAGGTTGAATTCACCTTTTTTTTTCGTGTAATAGTTAATGGGAATTTTAAAGTTAGCCTGTCAGCACACAAAAATAATAGGCTTAACATATAATAGAAAAATATATAATTTTTCGTTTCGAAAAAAACTTGGTTCACATATTTTAGTCACATCATCTCTTAATGTGTACATAAACTGTCGTGCAGTAATGTAGAACCGTTGACCCTGACTTTTACATATATATATATATATATATTGTGCAGAATATTACAAGATATTCAATTCTGTCTTTCTAACTTGAAAACAAGGAATGAAAAATGCGTTTTATGAATAGATTATAGATGATTTCTAATGAGAAATCCATTAGTAAAGGATCAATTACACCTGAGCAAATGGAATAGTTACTCAGCATAACGCGAAAATGGTTCTGTAAGTATTTGGTGCAAAACTCGAAAGAATCGATTACTGCGTTGAACAGACACGTCCTTTGCCTCGTACAACAACGCATGCAATAAAGTTAATGGCACAAATGATAAACATTGCTAACACGTCTATTTCATTGCGTTACTTCGAATAATTATTTCTTGAAAAACAACTCTTTAGCTTAATAATGGTAATATCATTTTTCAGCTGTGGAACAGCTGTCGCGTTTCCCAAGGAAAAAGATCTTTATTTGTGTGAAAAATAATTATTTAGAATTCCAGTGTTACAGAGGCGTAATAATTTTTCCTGATGCTTGCGTAACATACAATATTGTAATGAAAATCAACAGGTAAAATTTGGTTAATGAAAACGACCAAGACGATTATTGAAATGACTATAGATGATTCTATCTTGACATTCTTTGACCGTTTTACGTTTCTTATAAAACTAGATATATTTAATATAATTGAAAAACATTTTTGTAAAATCATTTTCAATTATATTAAATATGATTCTATCTAACAGAACTTATTGTGATAAAGAAAGTTTGAAACGGATGTTAGGAAATATCGAGCAATCTATTGTTGTTGTTTTTTGTACTCGTGATATCTTCACAGCAGTGAAAGTTCGAAAAATTTCAAAAAATTGTCTCCGAAGATCGACATTTTTTTGCTAAATAACACCGAATCTGTAAGTTATTTTGAATGAAATTTCGAAAAATACAGCGGTTGCTGGAAAATCTTAGTTTTTGAGCCATTAGCTTCGACACTTTGTGAAATGTCTTGTTGACTAGACGAATATTTGTCTATTTAAATGATTATGCTCATCGAAATCCCAAGCTGCTGAGAAACATCGACTCCCCGAGATTCTGTCATTCATCGTACAGTTGTTTAAAAACTTTTCAAGGTAATATTCGTAATCAGAGCATTAAGTTGTATATAGTCAGTAAATATTTCTCGAACTGCGTAACTATCTGTAAACTCTAGTATATTAAGCCACTGGAACTCTCCAATGGTTGCGGGACGACTTGAAATGTGAATTATATTGTCCTTCAATGCCCTAAAAATAATCCGACTTGTTCTATCCGTTGTTTTGTTATGTATGTCTTATTTATTTTCATCGTTCATTTTATGACTTTTATTTCTGTCAGACGTTTATCCGTCTTACTTCTATAACTGAGGCAGAAGCCAACTATCTCTTTTATTCTGCATTTAGCACTTACATATTAAGAGTGCCTCCTTTTCTTTCTCCATCTTGTTGCCAAATGCGTAGTACACGTCCGATCGAGGTCAAATTTATAGAGATAGAAGAGCGAAAAAGGAAATTGATGCATTTTTGCCCCTTCGAGAATGATCCGATCGAGTCGAAATTTTCACCCCAAATACTCCAGACCCTATC